ACACGTAAGTGCTCAATGAGTCATAGTCTTACGTCTGAAAAGCCTGGCGAAGTTTGTTAATGTGGATTTCTCTCTCAAGGGAAGCAATACATCCCACATTTCTAGACACATGTAGCTATGATTATTGTTGTTGATGGTAATGCTGCGTCTGTTGTTGGGTGTAATGCTGCGTCTGTTGTTAGTTGTAATGCTGCGTCTGTTGTTAGTTGTAATGCTGCGTCTGTTGTTAGTTGTAATGCTGCGTTATGCTCATTATACCCCATCTACTGGCCATTTTATAACTATTATGTTTTAACGAAGCACGCGTTCGAATTCATTTCCAAGCCAGGCTTCAAAGTTCTGGATGGAAGTGGCTTCCACAACTCCTCCTTTCAGTGTATTCCACGTGTTGACCGCCTGTACAGGGTACGTGTATTTGCTTACATTTCACCGATTCATTTCCGTTTCCAGCTTCCACTTATGTCCTCATGTCATACTTCCTCTCAACTTAAGGAGGCTGTCGCTCGGTGTTGTACTCATACGGACTGTTTGGGAAGGTTGTCCTTCTGAGAGTGTTGAGTACTGAGAGTGTTGAGTTCTGAGAGCGTAGGGTTATGAGAGCGTTGGGTTATGAGAGCGTTGGGTTCTGAAAGCTGAGACATTAGGATTTATAAGACAGTGTTGGAGTACTTGAATACACAACAAGGTGCTACGCTAGAATTTAAAGTAAAATGCCAGACTGCTGGAGTCAAAAACGATGAAGGAGTACTGGTATCTTAAGAAATAAAACAGAGATACTGGTATCTAAGAAATAAAGCAGAGATACTGGTATCTAAGAAATAAAGCAGAGATACTGGTATCCAAGAAACAATGCAGGGATACTGGGAAGCAACTGAGTCAGGACGCAACACAGATCAGTTGTTGGATTCAAGAATCAGCCTTTGTTGACGTAAAGGCAGGTTCTCATATCTCAGGTATTCAATTGCATTCAGCTATGGCAGCCCTTTTGGTGCTAGCTTGCTGGGGAGGCGGGGAGGGAAGGAGCACGGGTACTCGGAGTGCTGGAGCAGGTGCTGGGGGGGTGCTATGTACCAGGGTTGTGACTGTGGTGGAGTTAGAGGTGCTGGGGTGCTGGGGGAGTGCTTGCGTCCTGGGGCACCGTAGACACATCAAGCGCTGACTCTCTCGTCATAGGTGTTCGGCTTTAGGAAAATCCATACTGGGTGAGCTGTGTGGCGTGGTGGGCCCGGCCTCTCCCGCCAGGTGGGCGTGGCCGCTCCCACCACGCCCACCCCGCCCTGCACCCCACCACGCCCACCCCGCCCTGCACCCCACCACGCCCACCCCTGCACCCCACCACGCCCACCCCTGCACCCCACCACGCCCACCCCTGCACCCCACCACGCCCACCCCTGCACCCCACCACGCCCACCCCTGCACCCGCACCCCACCACGCCCACCTCTGCACCCGCACCCCACCACGCCCACCCCTGCACCCGCACCCCACCATGCCCACCCCTGCACCCGCACCCCACCACGCCCACCCCTGCACCCACACCCCACCACGCCGACCCTTGCACCCCCACCCCCCCCCCATCCCTGTATGTTTCCACGCCTGCCCGCACCCCATCTCTACCGCCCCACACACCCACACCCCAGCCCTACACCCCCGCCCCACACCCCCGCCCCACACCCCCCGCCCCACACCCCCGCCCCACACCCCCGCCCCACACCCCCGCCACACACCCCCGCCTCACACCCCCGCCCCACACCCCCGCCCCACACCCCCCGCCCCACACTCCCGCCACACACCCCCGCCACACACCCCCGTCCCACACCCCCGCCCCACACCCCCGCCCCACACCCCCGCCCCACACCCCCGCCCCACACCCCCCGCCCCGCCCCACACCCCCGCCACACACCCCCGCCTCACACCCCCGCCCCACACTCCCGCCACACACCCCCGCCACACACCCCCGCCCCACACCCCCGCCCCACACTCCCGCCACACACCCCCGCCACACACCCCCGCCCCACACCCCCGCCCCACACCCCCGCCCCACACCCCCGCCACACACCCCCGCCCCACACCCCCGCCACACACCCCCGCCTCACACCCCCGCCACACACCCCCGCCTCACACCCCCGCCACACACCCCCGCCACACACCCCCGCCCCACACCCCCGCCCCACACCCCCGCCACACACCCCCGCCCCACACCCCCGCCACACACCCCCGCCTCACACCCCCGCCACACACCCCCGCCACACACCCCCGCCTCACACCCCCGCCACACACCCCCGCCACACACCCCCGCCTCACACCCCCGCCACACACTCCCGCCACACACCCCCGCCACACACCCCCCACCCCACACCCCCGCCCCACACCCCCGCCCCACACCCCCGCCCCACACCCCCGCCCCACACCCCCGCCACACACTCCCGCCACACACTCCCGCCACACACCCCCGCCACACACCCCCACCCCACACCCCCGCCCCACACCCCCGCCCCACACCCCCCGCCCCACAAACCCGCCCCACACCCACGCCCTACACCCCGCCACACACCCCCGCCACACACCCCCGCCCCACACCCCCGCCACACACCCCCGCCACACACCCCCACCCCACACTGCCACACACCCCCGCCCCACACCCCCGCTACACACCCCCGCCACACAGCCACACACCCCCGCTACACACCCCCGCTACACACCCCCGCCACACTCCCCCCCCACACCCCCGCCCCACACCCTCACCACACACCCCCGCTACACCCCCCCGCCACACAGCCACACACCCCCGCCACACTCCCCCGCCACACACCCCCGCCACACTCCCCCGCCACACAGCCACACACCCCCGCCACACTCCCCCGCCACACACACCCGCCACACACCCCC